CTCGCGCTTCGTCAGTATACGAGCCTATGGAGAATTATTGTAGCATCAAACTCGGATTCTAAGCGCCTGTTTCCCGCCTGCACACGCGGTGACACGTGACGGCCTTCCTAGGCACGCAGTTACTACCTCCCTACGCGGTTTGAGTCGACTTAAAACACGCGGTGATACGCGACTATCATCCTAGGCACGCAATTACTACCTTTCTACGCGGTTCTTCGGATGCAATTCTCTGCGCGTTCTCGCGCTTTTCTCCCCTTTCTTTTCCGAATCTCAAGAGCACCCACCGTTCTACACAGTTGTAAAACCCATGTGCGCCGCGGTAGAAATTGAGGAGACGTGGCTTCAATTGCCTTCAAGGATGTCCTTGCAACGAAGTCGAAAGCCACTAGCCAGAACTGGTGGAGTGTGTGATTGCTATGGGAGCATTTGATCACCTCCTTCAACCTCGAGATTGACGGGAAGTCAACATTTGATACCCGATATGCCAACATTCGACAGAGAGTTTTGCGAGATTGAAGAGAATTTTGATGGTGGGACATTGAGAGTGTGTAACCTACAAGCAAGCAATTTGTAGGGCTTATAGCAAATCTAGAAGCTGTTTTCACATCATGCAGACATGCAAATCTAGCTCTACGAATTTTTCAATGTCCAAATTGGTCCTGTGAAGAAAAAGAACCTAGCCAATGCTGTTTACAAACAGGAGATCATGGTTGAATGAAAAAATGGCTTCAATCGATCAACTTCAATTGCCTTCAAGGATGTCCTTGCAACGGGGTCGAAAGCTGCTAGCCAGAATTGGTGGAGCAAGTGTGTGTGATTGCTATGGGAGCATTAGGGTGCGTCAGATCCGCTACAATGTGATTTGGCTGCAAATTTGTCGCCCTTTTGGTCGACTCCTTTTTTCGCCAAAGTCGGCCGAATGGTCGAATGCTAAACCGACCACCATCCAGCCACATTTACAAGGTGTTGAAATCTGACAGATTTGGTGGCCGATTTACAGGCCGGTTTGCAAAAGTGTCAGATTTGCAGGTCGCACAGTTGGCCGGATTGTGCGACGGAGTCGCACGTATTGTTACTGAAGTGACACAACCGCTATTGTGCACACTACGATCAGGGAGTCAAGATGTGAGCTGCAGCTCCATTTACAACCCGGCTCGGCGAGATCGTGTCGTCTACCCGAACTGAGTGTGATGAGAGCATACAAAAACCGGAACGTCCCTACACTCTAGCCATTATCCAACATGGCGGATCCTTTCACACCCAGATGGGCACGACGTTTAGCAATCGGACTCACGCACGTTGTGCTCATCCCCTTGGTCGCTACAGTCGGTGTCATGGTGCCCTTGCTCCTTGACTTTGCTGACGAGAGCGATTACCATGTGTTCTGGCGAAATGACCGAAGTATTCAACGAGCGCTTTGGATGGACCGCTTCTTGCACATGTCCCCAGACCACCTATACGAAACACTACGAGTTGGTCGTGACGTATTCGGTTACCTCTGCCGCGTGTGGTCTGAACACCTCATCAGCACTGGCAAACATGCATGCAAGGTGGCTCTCCAAGTAGCTCTTGTGCTCGTTCGCTTCGGAAGCGGGATGACATTCCGTCAGCTGGGCTTGCTTTTCGGTTTCTCACACGCGCATGCCCACACGATTGTCAAGGCGTGGATTCGAATCAATGAAGACGTCCTCATGCACGAGTGTATTTTATGGCCTGACTCAGACGATCTTGCTGCCTCGGAAGCAGATTTCAAATGGGACAGTGGGATCCCAGGGATTGTGGGTGCCATGGACGGCACATACATACACACCCGCGGTTCCGGACCACATGCGGAGGATTTTAAGAACCGGAAAGGCTTCTTCAGCATTATCCTTCAACTACTCGTCGACGCCAACGGCATTGTTTGGAGCATGTTGGCTGGCTGGCCGGGATCTTGCAATGATTCGAAGGTTTTTAATAATTCCAAAGCTAAACAAATGATAGAAAGCGGGGGGATTGGCGACTACTGCATCGTCAGCGATGCGGCATACGGCCTCAAAAACTACACCTAGGTGCCTTTCCGAGCCACCCCAGGCCAGCTACTGCCGGACGCGCAAGCCGTGTGGAACAAGCAGCAGTCGCAGGCGCGCATGATAGTTGAGCAAGTGAAGGGGCGCTTAAAGACAAAATGGCGTATTCTAGACGCCAGAATGGAATGCCACCGTCTCCATGTGCCGGCCACCGTGGCGGCTGTGGTAACCCTGCATAACATAGAAATGGTGCTTGGCACAAGATACCAAATAGAGATGCCGTACCCGCGCAATCGATGGTGGCTTCAAGGACCGGCCGCCAGCCTTGCACATCACGGCAGCGAGATCGCCGGCTTCACTCCGACTTTGAGGCGGAATCGCTTTTCTGCTTTCCTTTACGCTTCTTGGCGTCTCGGGCATCCCGGGCTCTCTCGTCCTCTTCTCGGGTGCGTTAAAAAAACAAGGTCATTGTTGTTTGGAGTGCGCTCGTTATCTCCTTCGTCATGAAGCCATACATATCGTACATCATCTTCTCCTTGCCTTTACGTCCTCCCGGTCACCCACTATACTCACCATCGTGTCCAACACCCACATCCTAACCGCAAACGTCGTACGCGCCCTCGCCGTGGTGCGTCCACTTCGGAGAGATCCACCCGGCCGCGCACTGAGGGATAGAGCGTCAGCGCGCGCGCGTGGCGAGGCGTGCTGACGAGGCGGAGTCGGCGTTGACGCTGCGGGGCGGGCTGGTTCAGGGCCCGTCGACCGTGATGGCGAAGTGACGAGGGGATTGGCGACCAGCGGGGCGACGGCTGGTTCAGTAGCCTGCACTGTTGCAGCTACAGGTGAAAGAAGAACACATGACGGCGAAATAGTTGAGATGAAATTCATGTTATTATGGTTTTGAACTGGTTAACGTGTAATATCAAAGCACCACCAATTAAAACCCAGAAGCCTTACCAGAGCGTACATTAGACCCGGATGCGGCTGGTGCAACTCCGGACGGGGTTCCGCCATATTGCACAGCATACCCTGGACCAGTCGACGGTGGCACCACGCTATCCGCGATAGAGTCGGGCGCCTCGTTGATCCCCGCTGTTGTGTGCCCGCTGAGAAAACTAGAACGAGAATGAATGTAATATGAAAGAGTTGGGTACAAGTACTAACCCTAATTGGGTTGTTCCCCATCTGGGCTACCCCACTACAGCCTACACAAAAGCATAAGCTATAATGTTCTGACACACCCCCATAGGCAAAGTGGGGGAGCACAAGGGGTCACAAGACCAGTCAAGCAAAGGAAAGCAAAGCAAGCTCAGGGTGGATCACAAACTCACCACACATTCCGAGCACAAGGTCAAGGCCACAAGGCCAGTTCACATGCAGGAGTACATATATATAAAAAAGGCTAGACAAGCAAGAGCAGGTGTATATATATATATGTAACAGTACAAGCAAGGTCAAGAGGTGAGCAAGTGAGGCAAGGCAGGCACAACACCCAGCTGAGTACAGAAGCGCTGATGATCACAAGGCGCAAGCGCCTTGGTGAAGATGTCAGCAGTCTTGGCCTCAGAAGCCACGTACGCAAGACGTAGCTGACCACGCTGCTGCAGCTCACGAGCAAGAAAGTAGCGGAGAGCAATGTGCTTCGTTCTGTGCTCCAGTCTCTGCTCTCGACACAAGGTCAGCATGGCCTTGTTGTCTACGTACGGCACTGGAGGAGAACAAGGCGGCTCTCCGAGGTCACTCAGCAGGTAGGTGAGCCAACGAAGCTCCTGTGCAGCCATGGCCCCGACGTAGATCTCAGCCTCACAACTGGAGCCGAGAACAGAAGACGAGCGGGTAGCCCGCCACGAAACAGAGCCGGAACCAAGGCTGAAGGTGTAACCCTGTGACGACCGCTGCGTAGCCTGGTCGTCAGCCCAAGAAGCGTCTGCGTGCCCAGTGAGGACCACTGGACTCTGCCCTCCAAGCACAAGCCCCATGCCCGACGTACTGCACAAGTAGCGCAACACCCTCTTCGCTGCAGTCATGTGCTCTGGTCTGTGTCTCCCAGGAGCAACATAGCGTGCGAGAATGCTAAGAGGGTATGCAAGGTCAGGTCGAGTGCAGGTCATCAGGTACGTGAGGCAGCCAACAAGCTCTGGGTACGGGCCACTCGACTCTACGGACTCATCCGAAGGCAGAGCTGAGAGCGAGTGGCGAATAGGCAGAGGAGTGGCCTGAGGCGAGGAGTACATGAAGCCGAAGCGCTGAAGAACCTGCTGCACCATGTGTGACTGAGTCAGGGTAATGGTGCGGCGTGCTATGTCCCGGGTGATCTGCAAGCCAAAGTAGCTGCGCAGTTCACCCAGGTCTGTGCACGTGTGTCTCTTCTGCAGCTCGGACTTCACGTGGGCGAGTCCAGCAGTGTCAGCTGTGGCAAAGACCAAGTCGTCGACGTACACGAGGATATAGAACGTCGGAAAAGAAGTGTCGGTGCGCAGAAACATCGACGGGTCGGCAGTAGAGGGAGCAAACCCAAGAGCCGCAAATGTAGTCCTCAGTGTGTCGTGCCACTCACGCGGTGCCTGGCGGAGACCGTAGACTGGCCGCCGGAGGCTCCACTGGGTGCAAGGAGGAAAAGACCCAGTGAAGCCAGGTGGGCGGCGCAGCCAGATCTCCTCGTGCAGGCTCCCCTGCAGGAAAGCTTTGCTGAAGTCAAGAGAGTGAAGCTCGTAGTCACGGTGAGCAGCTATGTGCAGCAGTACCCGAAGAGTGGTCATCTTCGGGGTGGGAGAGAAGGTCTGAAAGTAGTCAACTCCCTGCCGCTGACTGAAGCCACGAGCCACGTAACGCGCCTTGAAGACAGGCGGAGAACCCGGCGGTTGCTTCACCCTGAAAATCCACATGCCACTGACGATGTTCGCCCCAAGCGGGGGAACCTCGTCAACGTAGGTGCCTGTGGACTTCCAGGAAGCCATCTCTGCGTCCATAGCTGCTTGCCACTGAGAGGAG